CTGCCCACAGGCTGTCGACATTCTGTAACTCGGAACTCTACCTCGCCACCTTCACCGTCCATTAACCTCCTGTCTTATTACCCACATTTTTACCGTACAAATTGAAACACCTTCGTCCGACCGTTCTGCGAATCCACGGTAAACGGGGCACACCTAAACCTTAACCCACGTAAATTGAAATTACAATTCAACTGGTATGCACGCCGCAGATATCGCAATCTTCCAGCCCAAGTGCACCACGTTGTGTCATAGAAACAATGTTCAACTGTGATTGCGTATCCAGAAGGATGCAGATAGCGCGCAGGCAAGTGCCTAATCATCTCGCAGATCCGTACGTTCATCCAGAAGGCAACAAGGCAGCGAAAACGCAGCCGGAATTACCGAGTACGCACTGGATGGAATTAATTAAACGCTCCTACCCCTCCTCCGCCGTCCGACCTGGGTGTATTTACCCGATGGGCTTTGAGGATCGTATTGCAAGCGTCCCGTAAGAGAAGGTCCCGTCGTTTGTTCCCTCCCTCTCGCCCTCGTCGCACCCCTGTCTTCCCATACCCTTTCCTCCTTCCTACTGCTGCATGCTTCGTGGCAGCGGTATTTCGAGACCTCTAGCGAGGACTACCGGCGGATATCCGCAAATACCGCGAAAGAGTATTTAGAAATGCTTTGGGAGAGAGGGTGGGAAAAGGGGGAGAGAAGCGGCGCCTCGGCGGGAACTTCAAAGGAGGGGGGCCAGCTTTGCGGAACAGGTTGATGCCGAAATAGTCCATTGTGGTTATTGTATTGCTCGCGATATTGTGCTGCGAGCTTCGTCATCCCTTCGTCGCTCTTTTAACCGCAGCCATACGCACACGAGCGATAGGAAGAGAACGTCGAGTGAAACATAGAGGAGAAGGATGTACGAAATGAGAAAAGAGGACGAGTGTAGCGATGTCGGGAAGGTGAGAGTCAGACGACTACAGAGATTATTCGTGGACGATGCTCTCGATGGGAGAAGGAGGCCGGCGCCTACGTGGACGCGGCGACAGCTTTTCTGGAAACGCTCCAACCGGGGCTTGTTTGCCGAACGCCAAGCTGAAAGGTGATGCAGCGAATTTTCCGAGTGTTTGCTAAACATCCTCGTGGAGCTTGTGCACGCCGAGTAGATCTTCGTCGACTCTGCACCACGTGTCGCCGGAAAGGCGTTAATGCATTCCGTGAGAAAGTAGCCACGGTCTTCACCCAGGGAAAACGGACGTCACTCTCTTCTCGGACGGAGAGTCGTTCTCCGTTTCGTTGTTCCAACGTTCGCGTTCAGATACACTTGCAGGGAATATTCTCGGTCTACTTATTTTCCGTATCTCCGGGCGTTATCGAGGCGGTCGGTCGAAGGACGCGCGAGGAACGAGGGATCGAAATCGACGAGGCGTCGGTTAAGAGTTTTAATGCGAGCAAATACAGTCGCCGGCGGATTCCATCGTGGAGAGGATGATTGCGTAGTCTGTTTGCGAGGGATGATGCATTTCGGCAAACACGGGTAATCTTCGTCGGTTTTCGGGCGTCAGAAGTTTGTTTAACCTTCCTCGAAAACACGCGAGATAGCCGGTGTATCTAGTCGGGCAAATAGACCGAGGAACTTGTCGTATCTACGGAGGGAGAGAGAGAGAGAGGGATCTGGTCTCTTGACAAAAACACACGATAACCACCGTTCGAGAAACTTCAAGTTCGCTGCACTCGGAAATTCGAGGGAAAAAGTGACGATAAATCAGCTAATACCTTCGAACGAAACAAGGCCGGTAGAAGCTGCGGTCTTCGAATTTTTCACCGAGTTTCCCTTCGTTTTCCTTTCAACGCGCTTATCGAACGACAACTTCCTCGACTAGACACGCGCATTTTCTCCGACGAGGTGACCAATGTCCCCGATTCGACCATCCGCGCAAGCTTTTAAATAAACATGAGGGGAGACGACGTGCTCTCTGCCGAGCATCGCGCCAGATCGTGTAAAGACGATAGCAGGGGACGGCGATAAGATTAAACACCGTAGGTACAAAGAGTCGTGCTGTCCGGGGACCCGTGTCAACGCAGCAACGATTTTCCTAAACGCTGTTCGATCTTCAAAGGCGGCACACGGTGACCGAATGTTGGCCATGGTTAGGCCACGCTGGTGTCGGAGGGCATTAAAGTATCGCCGCTATAAACCGGCTGACTCATCGAGAGCCTCGCGCACGCGCCCCTACGATAGCGACAATAAAATTGATATTAATCGAGAGCGGAGAGAGAAAGAGAGAGAGAGAGAGAGGGAGGGACGAACACTCTGTTCGTTCGAACCAATCATTTTCGGAGGCGGCTCCTTTAATCGTACGTCGAGTGCTGTAGAGCCTTTGCCGCTTTTTGTCAGTTTTACGCGATAAAGCTATCGAGGATTAACAATGTTCAATTGTCAAAAACGAACGTCGTCGTACACACCTCGTAAAGTCGAAAATGAAGTAGTAGAAATTACAAGAAAAACGATACCATTGTCACCTCTACTTTTACTTTTCATTCTACACCACTTCCAACACCTGTATCAGAAGATCCGTTACCAGATCATGCTTCCATGAATCTCTGCGCGTTGACGGGTTAATAAACGGGTCATCGCGAGTACCGGCCGCGATTTTTCTCCGTCCTAAGTATCTGCGAGCCTGGCAAAAAGCCGACGGCTATATAACCGACGCACCGTAGCCACGACTGTACACGCAGAACACGCGTACGTTTGTGTAGGTATGGGTGCCGAGGCCCAGCTGATTTATGATCCAAAAAGAAATTACGAACGTAGGTGGACGATGATTTATCGCTTGGGAATAAATTGCGCATACCTCTTCCACTGGCAGAGGTCGTCAAACCACGGAGACCAGAGTCAAGGTGGTCGAATAAACGAACCAACCAGCCGAGTCGCTGGCACCTTTACAATCCACTCTATCTAGACTTCACTTCGCCCGATAACGGTCACGAAGCCTTTGAAAAAAATTCGTCTCCGCTTATTACCATCTCGTAATTGCCAATCCATCTCTACGATCGACAGAGTACCCTTACGACGTTTCCATTTCGCGCGTAATAGTAAGGGAAAAGTTCCGCGATGGGGACGGTTAATCGTCGGGACATGCAAAGTGGCCGTGAATATATCGCGTCGCGGCGCGACGTCACGC